CCTAGGCCCTGCTCAGGATGATATGACAGATTTTGAAGATTCCCCATGGAGATGAGGGGGAATGGAGTGAGGGGCAGGGGAGGAGGGGAGGGAGGGGGAGCTGGGATTGTCATGTCAAGCAAACTTGTTTCTAATTTAAATAAAATAAGTCAATAAATGGAAGATACCAGACATCAGTCTCAGGTCTCTACATGTATACAAACATGTGGGCATGTGTGCACGGGCACATGCGCACACATAAATCACCTATTAGACATGTCTGTGAGGGTATGAGGGAGGACTGGAGAGCTAGACTGCATGAAAAAGAATGGAACAGAATCATCAGCTCTCTGATTCCAGGTCTCCCAGGACTCCTGGCTGTGTCCTCCTGCTGTGAGGACTCAACCACACCTTCTCTACCAGAACAGACTCCCCCCTGAGCCGCTGCAACAAAGAAAACCTTCATTTTAGCAGCTGCTTCTTCACAGCAATGAGAAACTAATAAAGGTCTTCTACCCTAAAGACCATAGAGATCCCACCAGAAAACCTTCAGATCTTACAGCCCCATCTATACAGAATCAACTTATGAAAACCACTCACTTTCTTATGTGTCAATAATGAACACACTCCCTGAGAAAAAAATTAGGAAAAAATCCTATTTAGAATAGCTTAAAAATAATACCTAGGAATAAATGTAACCAAGGAAGAAAAAATGAAAACTTAAACTAAAGAAATAAACCGAGCTGGGTGCAATGGTACATGCCTGTAATCCCAGCACACAGAGGCAGGGGCTAGCAGATCTCTGTGAGTTCAAGGCCAGTCTGCTCTACATAGTGAGTTTCAGGCTAGCCAGGGCTACCTGGCTGAGACCATGCCTAAAAATAAACAAGTCAATCAATCAAAAAAATAAAATGGTTACATTAAAAAAAGAACTTGAAGAATACACAAGACAAAAGTTTCCATGCTCACAGATCAATAATATTATAAAAACAGCTATCTAATCAAAGGCAATCTACAGATTTCCAGGATATCCATCAGAATTCTAAGGCATTTCCCACAGAATTAGAAAACACAATATAAAATTCCTATGTAAACCCCTGAGATCTCAGATAGCAAGGTAGTCCTGAAGAAAATAAAAATACCTAGAGATATCTCAATAGCTATTTTCAAATTATACTACAGAGCTACAGTAAAATAAATTGCATGCTGGTGTCACAAAAACAGATACAGATCAATGAAATAAAACAGAGGACCAAGAAATTAGCACAAATAGTCACCTGATTTTTTATTACAAAGGTGACAGAAGCATACATTGATGAAAATAAAATACAAGAGTCTTCAACCAGTGAAGCTAGGAAAGCATGATCTACACATGCTGAAGATTGAAAGGAGATCCAAACCACTCCATCTGCACAGAGATCAACTCAAAAGGCTTTAGTTTAACACGAAAACTTTGGAACCTCTAGAGGAAAACAGTGGAGAAAGCACATCAAGACAGCTGACTCCCTGTGGCTGATGAGTTCATGGATCCTAGACAGAGACCACGACTGCCATTTTCATCAACCAGAATAAGTATCCCACAGTAAACTCACCTCTCATCAAGAAATACTACTTTTAAGATAGATAGAGACCACTACAGAAACCCACATCTGATCAAAACACAGACCACAATTGACTGTGGGGTGCCAATCCCACTTGATACATCTACAACACAACTTCTATACTTATGCACCGGAAACATCACAGAAGAGACAGAAAGACTCCAATAGCCACCTATAGTACCTTCTATATGACACTGAACCTGAACAATGTGGTCATTTAAAGAAGAACTGCACAATGACAATACCGGTCAACATGCCAAAGTGTATGGGGGGGAATCTCACTTCACCCACTCCTAGACAAACATGGGGGAAGCAATTGATGACTTCTCTCATGAGGATAGAAGAACTCCCTAAAAAGTTACACAATCCTAAGCAGTCAGTCCTAAACACACGCACATACAAGCAACACTAAATGGACTCCAAGCTGTGTCTGTGGAAGCATATGTAATAATGATAATTAAAGAGGTCATGAATTTCAGAGGAAGTAGTAGTGAAGGCATGGGAGGAGTTGGAAGGACAGGGAAGGGACAAAACAATATCAACAGTACTCAGTACAAATTTTCAAAAAAAATAAATGGATTTAAGTAAAAAATAAAACACGCGCGCGCACACACACACACACGCACACGTGCAAGGCATGGGGATAGAGCTGGCAAGCTGGCCTAGCAGGTAAAAGTACTTTCAAACAAGCCTTTGAGCTGTGAGACCCTAGGTAGAACCTACATGGTAAAAGAGAACCCACTCCTGTAATTTGTCCTCTGATCTTCACATGTATATCATGGCACATGCACTCCCCCGTCCCCTGACCCGCACAATAAATCCAGATGATAAAAAGATATAGCCACAGGCAAGAACTTTATGAACAGCACTCACTCCAGTAGCTCAGAAATAATCCCAAGAGCTGACAAATGGAGCTGAAAGGAATTACAGCATGATTCTGTAGAGGAAAGGAACCATCACTGGAGTGACGAAGTGGCAACACACAAAATGAGAGAAAATCATCGCCAACTATAGCAACGACAGGGGTTAATATTTAGAATTTGTAAGAGATTCAAAACAATTAAAAAAGAAAATCTAAACTATCTGATCAATATATAGACAAAATTGTTGAACATACAGTTCTCAAAAAAAAAAAAAGAAAGAAAAATGGCAATAAGTGCGTGAAAAACTCAACACCCTCAGTCATCAGAGAAAAGCAAGCTGAAGCTTCCTTAAGACTGCATCTCAGCCCAGTCGGAATGGCCATCATCAAGAGAAAAGGGCAGCAAGCAGTGTGTGAGGATGCAACAACACAAAACCCTTTCATACTACTAGTGGGAATTAAGGCTTGTGCGCCCACTATGGAAAGCAGCATGGATGTTCTGAAAAAAATTAAACCTGCTTTACCACTCCTGTGTGGCAGGCTTTTTCTTTTGGGTCATCAAGCAGCTCCCAAGTCATGACACAGAGACTTATTCTTAGTTATGAATGCTCAGCCTTAGCTTAGGCTCGCTTCTTCCTAGCTCTTATAACTTAACTGTTACTCTTCATTACATTTTGCCTCATCAAGTTTTACCCTTTTTTCTGTATATCTCCCATTCCTGCTGCCTCATGCCTGGCTGGCATATCCCAGCTTTCTCCCTCATTCTCTCCTTCTCTCTAGAGCCTGGATTTCTCCTCCAACTTATTCTCTCTGCCCACCAGCCCTGCCCTTTTTTTTTTTGCCTAGCTATTGGTTGTTCAGCTCTTTATTACACCAATCAGGTGTCGTAGGCAGGCAAGATGAAACAGCAACACATCTTTACATAATTAACAAATTCAGCACAAACAAATGTAACATCTTTATATCATTAACAAAGGTAGCATAAAAATATAACATACTTTCACATAGTTAAATATTTCAGAGCATAAACAAATATAACACATCTTTGCTCAGTTAAAATAATACTTCACAACATTCCTGAGTGTATACATGAAGGAATCTAAGCAAACCACAGAGATACCTACACATCCACAATACTGAAGCAATATCCACAATAGCAAAGATGTGGAACCAGTCCTTGTCCCATAACAGATGAAAGAGTAAAGGAAATGTGGTAGATATGCATATGCATTTTTATTCAGCCATAAAAAATGGAATTGTGCTATTAGTCATAAAACAGATGGGAGTTGATATCATCATATGAAATGAAACAAGAGACTAAAAGAGGAAAATATTATACTTCCTGTTATATGTGAAATCTAAACTTAAATAATGTAAAATCAATGTATAGATAGTAGTATATGGAAGGAAGGGGTCTAAAAACAGGAAAGTAGAAGAAGAAAAGATAAGGCAGAAGAGAAAAATAAAACATGAATGGATAATTGATATAATAAAATCCAAAAAGCATAAACACTAGAATTTTTTAAGTATGAGAGTTTTCATAGATCTACATAACAATTTCAGATAAACATGCTACTGTTTCTAAAACTTTATCCCAAAATAACTCTAGGTTCCCAGAATGTTACAAAATAGTACAAAGATTATCATCACTTACCGAATCTCGTTTAAGAAAAGTTGATGAGTCCTCATTTAGGAAGGGTCTTGACGCAAGAATGTCTATTTTGCCTTCCAACCTTCCCTCCATGGTTTTAATAGCATTTAAAAGAGTCTTTAGGGAGATTCTGGAATCTCCAGTCTCCTGAGACATTCTCATAGTGGGCAAGGTAGGTGCAAAGCTCACTCGGCGTGCCGAATTCGGAATGACATTGGGCAAGGCAACTGCTTGAGCTCTTTCCTTAACATTACTGACATAAAGCCTTGAGCCCTCAAGGGATTTAGAAGATGTGGGCCTCTCTGGAGATTTCCTTCTTTTTGGAGGCATCACCAGTTATAGGTACCAGAATCAAGCAAACCTAAGACTTGTTTCAAGGAGTATCCACTTTAGTAAGATAAATGGCAGAATTTTCCAGAAGAAACTGGAAAAATGTAATACTTGGTTGGCCGCAAGAATGAAAAGATCACACCATTGTCTATGACCAAATGAAGAAACAGGTTATAGCCCGAGCTTCCTCAGGAGAGTCTAATGAGGGCCTCTTTAGAACTCTGTGACCTCACCATGCATCAGTAAAATCAGTTGGTTAGAACCTCATAAGGATTCCATTTGAAGACATTCTAGTTCCATGGTTATTGGGGATATATGTACACAAACGCCATAGACACAGAGCTTTCCATGTATACTAAGAGTTAAAGATTTTTACAATGATCTAATTTACATATATGGTAGACTTGTAATCACTGAACTGAATTACTTCAAGTAAAATCTTCATGGGTTAAGTTCTTTACTAAGCACTTTCTATGTTCTGCTTTAACTTTACTCTTATTGAAATGTTATGTGACCTACAACAGGTGTCGGTCCTTACAGGCACCGTGCTGACAAGTAAGGCCCCCACTATCAATACCTCTTTCAGGTGAGCTTCTGTCTGTTGCAGATATGCCTTGCTGACATTCAGTTCTGAGTTTGCCTACAATTCAAAAACAAAGATATTTGTTCCTCTCATTTGCAAAAAAAAAATGTTAGGGTTTGAACTAAAAAAAAAAGCTATGAGCTTATAGAACCCATAAGTGTATTTCACAGCAGTGCTTCTATGAGTGATCATGGATCAACCGATTTTCTTCTGAAAGGCATAGCTTTCTATTCTGCAACAAATTTCAATAACTGCTATATTCATAAACACTAAGCATGTTGAATGGTCTAATTTTGTGGAAGACATCTTTATGAATTCCCCTTCTGTCTCATCAGAAGCTTAAACTGAATCAAGAGAAAGCCTTCATCTTCCTAGGATTATTTGGGGAGGTAGGGAGAAAGGCACCAAGAAATGCCTTAAAAACTGCAGCACTGTAACAGCACCTGACTGCAATCCAGTTTCTCAGACACATCACACCTGAGCATGTCTGACCTCTAAAGCCTTGTTGAGTTTCTCAGACACATCACACCTGAGCATGTTTGACCTCTAAAGCCTTGTTCAGTTTCTCAGACACATCACACCTGAGCATGTTTGACCTCTAAAGCCTTGTTGAGTTTCTGCAGATGGTCGTTCTGCAACCTGGTTTCAGTAAACGAATGGAGCTGTTCTTCTAGCTGTTTAACTTTTATCTACAAGGAAAATAGAACAACAATGAGTAAGCCTAATCTCCAAGGGGAAGATGTCATAAATTTTAAAAAATTAGAGGACACCTGAAACTTGAAAAAAAAAGTCCTGCACTTTCCTAATCTTGCAAACAATTTTGTCTTAACACTGCTAAAAACGGGTTACAGCTGTGTAAATGTGCCAAGATAATATTTCTGATTTCTGTGGCCTAAGGAAAATCCGAATGGACATGATAATGAATAAAACAGTGCAGATGTCCTGTAGATTAATTTCAATTTTGAGTGGATTGTGATACCTGGTATTCAAAACCTTTTTTTGAATATGGACAATTAGAAGTGGCAATCTAAAAAAAAGTGACAGTTTTGTGTTTTGCTCAAAGAAAACTAGAAAAGTTAAATAGGTAGAATTCTTACATGTTGAGTTGCATTTGAAAATTAACTCCTAAATCCAGGTGTAGTGGTACATACCTGTTATCTCAGTACTAAGGAGCCAGAGGCAGAAGGATTACTGTGAGTTCTTAAGTCAAATGACTATTTTATGGGATAAAAACAATTTATACTCCCTCCTTAGGACTCGTATTGTAGCCACTGAGAAACAATGAAATGCCCTGAAATTTACTGATAGCATACTTTCATCAAAGGTACATCTTTTGAGTTTCTCATTTGGTAGAAATTCTTACTCAGGATATTTAAAATTGGAAGGAATACAGAAGCACTGGCCAGAAGCAAATGAACACTGCTCCTTCAAGCCTGGTAATTTCATGAGCCTTAAAACCACACTGTGACCAGCTTATCAGTAAATCTGGGGACATCAGGATCAGGCCATGGTCAGATGCTCATACCATTTCAATTGGTCTGAATATGTACTACATAATATATAATTGGTATTTATTATATGTGATATGTCTATATACATACTAATACTGTTAATACTATATAAATTCAGACAGTCAAAAAATTAAAAGAGCTCTCTTTTAACCTGTTTACACTGTAACATAAATATCCATTCCCTATATTTCCCAGATTTTTTAGTACACACTGTAAAATTGAAATAAACTATGACATATCTATAGTGGTAGTTCATTTATAACTTGAAATGAGCTTTAGAGTTATAAATAGTCAATCTTTTTATTACAGTTTGGTTTGTGGCACTGAGAACCGAAGCTAGAACCATTCCATAAGCACAACTCTTATCAACAATCTTTCAGTTTGCCTCCTTCCAGCTCTGTGCCTCATTTTGTCTGCTACCTTTAATATGAGCATGTTCAGCAAGCCTATAGTGAGATTACTCAACATGTCGGGTGTCCAGTACTAAGCCTAAGTGGGCCTCATTTCACGCTGTTTAGTCCAGTTGCCCCTCATGTATGGCATCTTTCACTATTGTTGAGAGAAGATCTTATGCTCGGGCTGACCCCATCATTCATTCTCCTACCTCCTGCCCTTGAATGCTTGGATTAGAGGTATACTCCAGCATGCCTGGCTTCACCTGGGGAGCTTTACAAAGTATTAGGCCTAGGACTTAAATTCTGTTTTAATTGCTTTTATTAGGATTACAGTCAAGAGAATTTTTCTTCTTATGTATTACAAAAAAAATTAAACATGCAGACAACTTGAAAGACCTTTCTCTGACTATGAACCTATCTAACACCCTATGTTCTACCATTATTTATTTATTTATTTTACTTATCACCTATCATTCTCTCTTATGGGTTCTCCAATCTATTTTTTTGTAATTAGATGTATTTAAAGGAATGGTAAATATACATTTATACTGTTGGGATTTTTTAAAAAACCCATCTGATTCTAATGTGTATCTAAGACGTAGAACTCACAAATTAGTGCTTAGTATTTCCAATGGGGTTGGTCTAAATCAGGCTCAGCAACATCAGTAGCAAGCTTCCTGCTGTGTGGGTACCATGGGGACAAAACAAAAGCTTAATACCTGCACATTCACTCACATCCCATCACACTACTCAGTATAAGACTCAAGCCTATGGCCTTGTGCTACAATCATTCCCCAGACCCACAACACCTAGGTTCTCCATCTTCTCACAGAATGGCCATGCATAAAATGGCTGCACTAATGCTTCAGATGGTCACAGAATTGGCTGTGGTTTCGTCATTAGACTACTAGTCTATGAACAGAAGTTACTTGGATGGTAATGAAGAAATAAAGTCAGGGAGGTTCAGAGGCTATAGAGTTAGTAAATGACAGAGCTACTTTTTCTTAAGTTCAACAATATTTAATCCAACAATTTCTATTTTAAGCATCAGACAAAAATCTGAAGATAAATCTCATACCTGAAGTTTCCCCTTTTCATAGGCTAGTTTATTTTTACTCTCAGTAATTTTTTCCAAGGCTTTCTCCACTTTCTGCTGAGCAAACTGATAAAACAAGCACACATATTATTACTTTTGACACACAGAGTGGTTAGCACTTCCCTTTTAAAACAGCTGTTAATACCCTTGCTATTTCTACAGAAATACTTTCACATTACTTACAACTTCCTCTGCCTTGAAGACCTCCCCTAGACAATACATCGTTTTGTTGACAGGCAGCATAGTCAGAGCCTGCTAATGAAGACACAAAGTCTTAAGAGTCCCAGAGTGTGAGTGTGCTGTCGTTTGTACTGCATTCCTTTTTTTGTTTGTTTGTTTCTGATTTGTTAGTTAATCCTTTTCTAGGCAGGTGCCAACCAATGTCTGGTAAATTGAAATAGTGATTATAAGGTGTCTGAAGAAGACCTTGAAAATTTTTAGGAACAATGACCACACCTCTGACAGAAGAGCAGCCTTTAATTACCACAGTTTAAAGAAACTGTGTCTCAGAAGTTGAAGTACCTTTTGCTAAAGACACCACATACTCCTGACCCACAACTGGAAAGATCTGAGTTAAATCTTTGGTACTTTATGAAAGTACCAAAAAGATACTACATAAGGTGCCAAGAAAGGGAAGCAATAAACAGTCATATCCATAGGTGATGCTTATGAACTATAACAACAAAAAGTATGGCAACATATCCCTGAAGCCGTAATAGTGGCACCCATATCATGGTGGTAATCAAGTCTATTGGATTCACAGCCCACTAATGGGAGGAATATCATGCCTGGTACTAAGGAACCCAGTCAGCCAACAGACCTAGGGAGGTCATGGGCCTCAGAAGCAGTGCCACTACTTTCCTAGACCAACATAATTCCTAATCACATTCTAAAACTTATCATTATAGCCACAAATAAGAGCAGTTCTCATCCTTCATCAAAGAAGCTTCTCTTTACAGTAACTAGAGACTGTCACAGAAAACTACAATTAGCTGTAAGTAGAAGTCAATGGATTTGGGGGACTCCAGACACAATGGATATATCTACAACACAACTCCTACACCTTAAGGCTCAGAGAACATCACAGAATTCGGGGGCAGAAAGGTTGTAAGAGAGAACATGGTAGTCTCTGTTAAGACTATGTTTCCTAGAAATGACACAGAAGCTATACCCATAATACCTTAACAATATGGTTGCCTAAATAAGATCTGAACAATGACAATATCAATGGAGATGTTAACTCAGAAGGGGGAAATTTCATGGGGCTCCACCTCTAAACAAGAACTGCAGACAATTAATGATTGCTGAGAAAGGGAGAATTACCAGGAATGAACCCCCTAACTGGTCATCCAGCACATGGTGGTCAGCCCTAAAATAAAATACACAAAAACACACTAAAAAAGATGTCATGGGTTATGTTTTCATATTTATGGATATATATGAAACTAACAAAGAAAAAAGCCATCCATTTGAGAGGGTGTTAAGGTGGGATGGGAGGGCACATGGAAGGGGTTGGAGGGGAAGAAAGAGAAGGAATGATGTAATTATATTTTAATTTTAAATAATTAATAAGAATGTTAGGTACTTACTTAAGTTCCTGTTTATAGGTTATTAGACTATCTCTGCACTTTAAATAATGGAAGAACATAAATTAACATTACTCAAATAAATGAACACCTCAGACTTGTGGAGAACACAAATGAGATTAGTGTTTGCTTAGATAACCTTGGTGCTATCCTAAAGACTATTAACGACAGAGACCAAAGCAAAAACTGGAGAATTACTTGACAAACAGCATACAAAGAAAAATCATAGTATCTGTTATAATATAGCTTTTTACTACTCACAAAAGTTTTTAGAATATTAAAATTTTTAGTCTGTTAGGATATATAGTTTTTGGCACACAAAAACAACAGTGCTTAGAAAACCAAGATGGAATTATAAAAAGATTATCTTAAGATAGATAAGTTAGGGGCTGGAGAGATGGCTCAGAGGTTAAGAGCACTTGCTGCTCTTCCAGAGGACCAGAGTTCAATTCCCAGCAACCACATGATAGTTCACAACCATTTGTAATGAGATTTGATGTCCTCTTCTGGCCTTCAGGCATACATGCAGACAGAACACTGTATATATAATAGATAAATAAATCTTAAAAAAAAATATAAGTTAGCAAGGACGAACAGTACCATATCTCAGAACTGAAATGTGCCCCACAAAGGCTGTGTTTAGTGTGTGATTACTAGCCATGAGTACTACTGGGAAACAGCTGTGGTTACTAGCCATGGGTACCACTGGGAGGCAGCAGAGCCTTTAAGAAGTGAGGCTGGATGGGAGAATGTTAGTCCACTGGGATGTGACATTTGAACAAGGACCTGGGGCCTCTCTGTCTTTTCAGAGGGGATCAGCTCCTCTGCCACGCATGCCCCATAAAGATTTCTGCCTTACAAAGGCCCAAAAGCAACAATTAACCAACTAACCATGGACTGAAACAGCCAAATTATGAACCCAAATAAATCTCTTCATGTTGACTGACTGAAGGCTGAGACAAATACACAGAAAACTGTTTTCTAAGGTATTTTCTTACAGTTTTTGAAACTAAATGCAGATCCTTAAGGTTACATACTAGAAAGTTAATGGAAGCTGTTAGAAGAATAAACAAAACCAGTGGGATATTATACTCTTGTAAAGTTACTTTATAAGAATACATTTATTTAAAATATGATACAGATTGAAAATAAAACACCAGATTGAATTAACTTTGACATTTAGTTACACACATGCTGGAGAGCATCCTTGAAGCCTCCCCTGTAGCAGATGGGAACAAATGCAGAAACCCACACAGATAGTAAGAGACCTCACAACATTCAGTCCTAAATGGGATCTCTTTGTCAAATCCCTCCCCCTCAGAGATCAGGGGATCCTATGGAAGAGGAGGAAGAGACAGCAGAAGAGCCAGAGGAGATGGAGGACAATATGAAAACAAGGCCCTCTAAGTCAACATGGTCAGCGTCCATTTGAGCTCACAGAGACTGCAGCACACACAGGGCCTGTACCAGGGCCTCTGTGTATAGATTATTAACTTTAATGTTTTTATGGGATTCCTAAGTGTAAAAACAAGTAGGCCTCTGAGTCTTGTACCTTCTCTTGGGCTTTTTTTTTCTTCTGCTGGTTTGTACTGTCCAACTTTGATGTGGTAATTCTTGTTTATCTTATGTTTTATTTTGTTGTATCTTAATATCTCTTAGAAGCCTGTTTTTTTTTTTCTAATGAAAGAAAGAGAGTGGATTTAGACGGGAGGGGATGTGGGAAGGAAATGGGAGGAGGAGAGGGAGGGGAAACCATAATTAAGATATATTTTGTGAGAAAAGAATCTATTTTAAATAAAATGTTAAAATTAAATAATGTATTAAAGTAATTTAATTTTACTTCATCAAAGTCCTAACGCATAGTTAATTTTATTTATATTTGCTACTTTTATTTAGGGATGTATAGGCTCAGGAATGGTGGCCTTCCTTCCCTTTTCTTACTGTGACTCCTATGTAAGTGCCCATAGTAATGGACTCAACTCTACATTGCTAGAAATTGAAATGGCAGAAATAAACCTCTGTGCCGGTTCATTTTTTTGTCAGCTTTACACAAAGTAGGGCCATCTATGAAGAGAAAACCTCACTTGAAAAACTGCTTCCTTATGACTGACAATAGGCAAGTCTACAGCACAGTTTCTTGATTAACGATTGATGTGGGAGGGCTCAGTTCACTGGGGGCAGTGCCACCCTGCATATGTGGCCATGGGTTGTATAACAAAGCAAGCTGAGCCGGGCGGTGGTGGCGCACGCCTTTAATCCCAGCACTCGGGAGGCAGAGGCAGGCGGATCTCTGTGAGTTCGAAGCTGGGCTGGACCGACAGCCTCCAAAACAATACAGAGAAACCCTGTCTCGAAAAACAAAAAAAGAAAGCAAGCTGAGCAAGCCCGAAAGCAGTATTCCTCCTTGGCCTTTGCTTTGGTCCCCACCTCCAGGTTCCTGCCTTGAGTTCCTGCCCTGACTTCCTTTTGTGATGAAAGTGTAAATAAACTGTTAAGATGAAATAAACCCTTTCCTCCTCAAGTTGCCTTTGGTCATAGTGTTTTATCACTACTTATATGTTCATCACTATCACAGCAATAGAAAAGCAAACTAGAGCATCCTAAAACTAGAGAATGTGGGGAAAAATAATAGTAATGTTTATTCATGCACACTGCATAGTAAGCTCTGCAATAGGCACTTGACACTCAAGTCTACAACCCTGGGAGCCTTGCATTAATCAAGGGAGTAAAGGCAGACAACACCACAAGGTTAGAAAGTGAAGGCAAATGCATGAATAGGTCAGTTTCTAGTAAGCGGAGATGGGGGGGTGGTAATAGGTTGTTATACACAGCATGCCAGTTGAATCCCACAGAAAAGATCCTCTAAATGCTGCAGCCAGGTTAGGTCACAGCAATGAGAACCAGGGTCTAAAACCAGGTTTGTCTAATTTCAAGTCTGTGACATTATAGATGCAATATACTCCAAATATTACCTCTAAAGACTGGTGAGGGGTTATACTACAAGTTACCCATTACTAAGAATTTTAAGTTTTAAGTCCCAAAAGAACAAAAATGTATTGCTAGCATTAACTAGCAATAGTTTTAGTGATAGTGCAAAACTGATAAGACAAATCATAACATCTCAGCTTCACAGTTCAGACTCCTATGTTTTACTAAAACACTTCTCTGATGGTTTGATGGAAAAGCTTCTAGGTAGACACAGAACTCAAGGCATAACTGAGACGAAAGTCATCACTAGGAGACCTTAAGCAACAAGAGTATGAAGAAAGGAAAGAATCAATACTGACCAAAAACTGATAAATCTACCAAAATCACTAGTAGGAAGAGGTCACAGAACTGGCCATGGCAGTGGTTCAGGAAATTAAGCCAGCAGATGTGGGCTGAACAATAAGCATTGGGCATGACTGGATACTTAATCCTGGAACCAGACAATCTCAACTAATGGGTTGATAGGCACTGACAGACTTCCCACTGCCCACAGTAGCCAGAGAAACTAAGAATTTCAAAACTTGCTGAAACTATCTGCTACACGCTTTACATTTATTAACTTAATCCCCAAACACCTTTAATAGTAATGGTATTATTATCCTCATTTTGACAGGTTAAGAAGCTGAGGCTCATCTCAGGCATAAGCAAAATTGATAGCAAGACAGCCTGGCTCAAAAGCCATGAAAACAAAAAAAGGTTTAGGTTTAGTCCCTCTGATTCTTCAGAGCTGAAGTAATAACCAGGTGATGACAGGCTTTGGAAAAAAAATAATCTCAGACTGAAAAGGACATTGGGGTATTCTGTAAAATCTAAGGACTTCTTTGCATGCTCTTAAATAGCGCTAATCATTCTTCCAATAGTCAAGTACACAAGAGAAGTATTCGCTTCTTAGTAGAATCTCTGTAGTCCTCTTCACTTGGAGACACTCACACTGCACTGACCTTATCAAATAGGTTTTAGAAATCATACATTACTGACTGCTTAAAGGAGGGAAAGAACAGGTAAAAAATACAAGTTTCTTCCTTGTAGTGTATGTAAAGGATGCATTTTTATACATCAGGTACATTAGTGCTTGTCAGCATTACAGATCACTTATGATAGTCATGGGTAGCTGTCTTAATTTCCTCCTATAGACTGACCTTTTTATACCCACCCCATGGTAGTCAGAAGTGGCTCTGTGATGTTCAAGAGAAGCCATTTTTTCTGTCAGGTGCTTATTTTCTTCCACGAGACTCTGCAGGTTTTGGTTCAACACATTGATGTCTACCTTTGAAAAGAAAAGGAGAAAAATTATTTTAAATGAGAAGATTTTATTTTAAAATAGGAGTTGAATTGAAAATTGGGCCGGGCGGTGGTGGTACACGCCTTTAATCCCAGCACTCGGGAGGCAGAGGCAGGCGGATCTCTGTGAGCCTGAGGCCGGGCTGGGCCGACAGCCTCCAAAACAATACAGAGAAATCCTGTCTCGTAAAAACAAAAACAAAACAAAAACAAAAACAAAAAGAAAATTGGAAGGCAGTCTATGCACATTTCTCTTCTCAAAGAGTGGGATTATGATGAATCTGCTTTATAGTTCTTGGATGCTTAAAACAGATTTTTATTTTCTTTCAACTTTCACTGTTTTTATTGAAAAAATTATTTTGATCACGCTTTTCCCCTCCCCCTACTTCTACCAGATCTTCCCCACTTCCCCTCCCACCCAACTCCAAACTCTTTTTCTTTTTAAAAAACAAAACCAAGAAACATATGCAACAGTCCACACAAAACACAAGTCAAAATAAACAAGCAGAAGACCAATAAGACAATAAATGCCCAAACAAAGCATAATGAGACAAAAAGTTTACAGAAACACTATTGAGTTTGTTTTGTGCTGACCATTTCCTCTGAGCATGGGTCCCCATCCTGAAGTGTGGTTAATGCACCCAGTGAGATTCCTTTGGAGAAAAATAACTTTTCCTTTACCAGAAGATATCAATTACAGATGGCTTCTTGGTTAGGAGCCTGAGTCCATGTCCAATTTCCCCCTTAGTGATAGGAAGCTGTTTGGCTTGAACCTGAGCAGGCCTGTGTATGCTGCCAGTCTCTGTGAGATCCTATCTTCTGGCTCTTACAATCTACCTGTTACTCCTCTAGTTGTTACAGGAAGAACTAAGCAATGCATCTTTACTAGTAGTTACGTCCTTTCTAGTATTTATCAATTCAAGCTTGTGTATAGATGCAAAAAATCTTCCACAAAATATTGTCATGTTAGTATATACTATTTACTACTGGTATAATTTACCACATCAATAGACTATATTAGATAAACCATATAAAACATGTCAATAAAAATACACATTTAAAAAACTCAAATATACATTTTAAAAACTCAATCCCCCAGGTGAGGCCCTCCCTGGGGGATCCCCAAAGTCTGTCATATCATCTGGGCCAGGGCCTAGGCCCTCCCCCACGTGTCCAGGCGGAGATAGCATCCCTCCCTGTGGAATGAGCTCCCAAAGTCCATTTGTACACTAGGGATAAATACTGATTTACTACTGCAGGCCTCATAGATTGCCGAGGCCTCCTCACTGACACCCACATTCAGAGGGTCTGGATCAGTCCTATGCTGGCCTTTCAGTCATCAGTCTGGGGTCCATGAGCTCCCCCTTGTTCAGATCAGCTGTTTCTGTGGGTTTCACCAGCCCAGTCTTGACCCCTTTGTTCATCACTCCTCTCTCTCTGCAACTGGGTTCCAGGAGTTCAGTTCAGTGTTTAGCTGTGGGTGTCTGCCTCTGCTTCCATCAGCCACTGGATGAAGGCTCTAGGATGGAATTAGCTCAAATGGTAGATGCTTGCTTAGCATGTGAAATGTAGTGGAATCGATGCCCATATTTATATTCTCCAACTGTTACTTTATAGAGGAGAGCAGGATGAGAGATTCCATAATAGAGGGAGCCATTATAGGTTTGAGGAGATATCTGGCACTAGGGATATTTCCAGAAACATACAAGGATGACACCAACTGGCAATCTAAGCAATAGTGGAGAGGCTACCTTAAATGCCCTTCCCCAATAATGAGATTCATTTACTTATATAAGTCATTGTTATACAAACATGTAACAACAATTTAAAAAGGCCATGTACTTGAGAGCAAGGAGGGGTTTATGGGAGAGGTTGAAAGGGAGGGTAGAAATGATGTCATCGTATTTTAACTTCAAAAATAAAAATATTAAAATATCCTAAAGCTAATAGAAGTCTATTTAATTATAAGAATAGATAGCCAAGATTTTCAAAGTAGCAAAAAGAAAACACATAATCAATGAAACATAGCAAAGTCTACAGTGAAATCTAAATATCTATGATCAACTACTTTTCAACAAAAGTACTAACACAATCCAAAGGAAAAAATAGAGTCTATCAAAAGATGTGACCAGAGAAGTGACATCAGTGATGTACAAGAAGCAAGGAACTTCAAAAATTCTTTCCTGTAGCAGCAAAAATAGTCACAGTGAACTTCAGAACTCTGGAAACTAGCAAAGGTAATCTATGCCATGCTTATTAAAAGACATAGCTGAAATTGATCTGTATTGTTTATATTTGCTCTATTCTTATCTTCCTTTCTCCAGCAGAGATGTAGCCTTGAGAGTCATCAGACTACCAGCTCAGTAAGAGTTAAGTCTGGCATAGCTGTTACTTTTTCAAAACATTCCCAGAGCATTACTGTGATATGATCTGTGCCTTAGTTAGGGTTATTATTTCTGTGATGAAACATTATGACCAAAAAGCTAGTCGGGGAGGAAAGGATTTATTTTGCTTATACTTTTACATCATTGTTCATCATTAAAGGAAGTCAGGACAGAAACTCAAACAGGGCAAGAAACTGGAGGCAGGAGCTGACGCAGAGGTCATGGAGGGATACTGCTTAACAGATGCTCACCATGGCTTGATCAACATGATTTCTATAAAACCCAGAACCAAAAGCCCAACAGTGTCCCAACCCACAATGGGCTGGAGATTCCTTCATCAGTCACTGATTAAGAAAATACTCTACTAGCTTGTTTGATAACAGCCAACTTTCATAGGAGGCAATTTCTCAATTGAGGTTCCCTCTTAGGTGGCATGAGTTGTGTCAAGCTGACATAAAACTAACCAGGACAATCTGTCTGGTGCTTCTCTGGATGACTTCCCAAACAAGACTGCCTTAATTAGGGATGACTTGGAATTTATTCATACAAAAAGCTTTCTTCTAGACACATATGTATGAACGATTAGAGGTAATTGGCTAAGTTGCAGTTACTTCTTAGGAATTAGACAAAAAAATTAGACTAACCAGAAAATCCAAAAGATAAACATATGGAATGAAACCGCCATTAGAAGCTTTGAAGAATACTGACAAATTGCTAAAGCTCTACAAAGTAATGTGTATGCACAGGGTCTCAACACGGGCACATGGTCCGATGTGAGAAGGCTTCCAAAGCCCACCTCTGACAGACTCTGAGGCTCTGTACACTCTCAAAATTAGGTAGATCAACGCTCTAAAACTTGAAGGCATGTCTACATTGCCAAATCATCAAAATGCTGAAAGCCAAATTCAGAAAACCCTAAAAGCTGTCATAAAAGGGCTCATCAGGTACCAGGTATAACCATGAGGATGACAGCTGTCTTTCAAGGGCAGAAGGGAGAGGTGTAAGGTATTAAAAATTTCAGGAGAAAAATCCTCAACTATGAATTACAAATCCAGCAAAACCAACCCTTAACAATAATAAAAATATTGGAGTATTTCCAGATAAACAAAAACTTGTAATAATCCACACAAAGGACTTTTCTGGCTTAAGCATAACCCTGAGGCTGTGGTGCATTCAAATCTCACTGAAATTAAAGTAATTTACCAAAGTCCCCGCCTGTGTTGTGTGTACAGACTTTGGGGCTAGAAAACAAGATCTACATGGAAAAGTAAAGGGAATTCTTGAGGCTTAAGTAAATGGGCAGTGGATGACAACTGGAATCTACATAAGAAATAAAGGGTAAAGTGTACCTACCACATGCATGTTTGGTGCCCACAGAGGCCCAAGAGGGAATCAGATCCCCTGGAACTGGAGTTATGGATGGTTCTGAGCCCTCATGTGGGTGTTGGAAACTGAACCTGGTCCTCTGCAAGAGGAAGGCATGCTCTTAATAACTGAGCCATACCTCCAATCCCCATATTTTTTTGTTGTAAAATTTTCTTACCTGCAAAGCCAAAAAGGATAATAAAGGAAGCAATAAGAGAGTTAAAACAATGCAATAGACTCACAAAGCGAAAGAAGAAAATAATTAAGAAACAGAGTAACAAAGCACAAAAGCAAAAAGTAAACTGCAGAAATATTGGGATGAAGAGAAGGCTCAGCAGTAAAAGCACTAGCTGCTCTTCCAGAGAACCTAAGTTAGATTCCCAGCACCCACATGGTGGCTCACAATCATCTATAACTCCAGTTCATAAGGATATGGCACTCTCTTCTGGCCAACTCAGCACTGCAAACATGTGATACACTTATATACACACAGGCAAAATACCAATACATATAAAAAGAAGTTTTTTTTAAGCAGAGGGAGGCAAAATGAAAAATTTTAATGATGCAACAATTTTTGAAAGAAGGACTTTAGAGTCACACAGAAAGAGCAAGTTAGGGGATGGGAAAATATCTGCCATATAAACAACAATCTGAAAATAGCTTAGTTGGTGACATTAATATTAGATTAAAAATTGAGATAAAATAGGAAAAAACAAAAGATCCATGAGCAAACAGAAGCCTTGAGCAACACTATTAACTATTTTCCACATTTCATATGGAAAATAGCATTAACCATCAAAATATAATATTTATATAACTATATGTTCATGTAAAAAGAGAACCCCAAAAACATTGTATATGAAGTCAAAAAAAGAGAACAGAATTGAGTAGAGAGGTAAACAGCAGACAGAGATCTCATATCTCACACATGAAATACTAAATAGGAGAAGACAAAAGACTCATGAGCAAATAGAACACTTAAACAACACCATTAACTAACAAGACCTAAGAGAACAATTCCCCCACAGGGCAGACTACAGACTTTTCTCAAATACACATGCAATAATCTTTAGGATAGATCATATGTTAGGTCATAAAGCAACTATCAATAAATTAGGAAGGGCTAAAATCAAGCAAAGTATGCTCTCATTCAAATTATAACAACATTAAAATTAAAGCAAAAACCATTTGGGAAAGTTCATATATATGAGGAGATCAACACATTTCTAAACAACCAATGTTTCAAAAAAAGTGAAATCGTGGGAGAACTTAAGGAATAATTTGAGATGACTGAAAATGAAAGCACATCACAATGAACTTATGAATGCAGTGAAGCCGGTTTAGAGAGGAACTTTCATTCCTGGAAACATCTATATTCCAAAAAAGGAATACTTAGTGGTTGTGAGCCTAGCCTTTAGTGGCTGAGCCATCAGTCCAGTCCAAAAGAAATATTTCTTAAATCAATGACCCCAGCTTATCTTAAACTAGAAATCAAAGAACAGGTTAAACACAAAGCAAACAAAAGACAATAATAAATATTAGAGCACAAATTAAATAAAGTATAGGAATATAACAGAAACCAAAAAGCAGGTAGCTGGATTAACCAAGGAAAAATAGAGAAGATACAAATTACTAGACAGTAGTGAAATAGAGAACATTACTTCTGATCATATAGAAATAAATATGTATGACAATTGTATGCCAAGTTCAATACCCTAGGTTGAAAGGACACATTCCTACAAAGAACCAATCTATTGAAACTGACTCAAAAGTAAAACAAAAACCCCAAAAAGGAGAAGAGAAAGGGGTGAGAAATTCAAAAGAGACCTACAATAGAAGGTTGAATCACTAATAATGTAACACAGAAAAAAAACCAAACTTCCCACAAAGCAAAGTCTATAACAAGATGACTTCACTAATAAATACAAGAACACTTAATGAAGAACTGTTATGAGGCCCTCAAAAAACTTAGCCAAAAATAGGAAGAGAAGAAATATTTGCAAATATCATTTTAAGAGAGTAATATTATCTTGACACCAACACCAAAGTTAACACAAGAAAAATAAAATCATAAAACAATATCTATTATGAATACATATTTTAAAAACTCAACAAATCAGGCCAACAACATTCAAAAGGTGTATATAAAATGACCAGGTAATGTTAGCCTGACTAAGGAATATAAGGTAACTTTTGGGGAGGAAAGCATTTTAAATTAATGAATGTAATATATAATATAAATAGTAAAGTCAAGGACACAATCCCTAAGATATTTCAATACTTCCAGATAAAACGTTTGACAAAATTCAGAATAGTACAACTAAAATTTCCCCCAAACTCTAAGGCATAGAAGGGAATTTCCTTACTTTCATGAGGGAAATTTACCAGAGTCCTATAGCTCACATGACAATGTGACAAACTAATATCACAAGAATGCCTACCCTCACCATTTCTAGACAACATTACAGCACAAGTTCTTAGTCAGCTTATACAAGACCAAGCAAAGACAGAAAGAAATCACAAAGTCACACATGTGGCATATATAGTATTAAAATTGTAATGCTCTCCAAATTAATGTATAAAATTAGTGTACAGCCTACCAAAATTGCAGTTTTCCTTTCTTACTAAACTGGAAAAGCTGATCTTAAAAGTTCAGCCGGAAACATTTAGACTCAAAACAACAAAAACTCATTCATCCCAATGTCCTAACAAAACTATCATAAGGATAAGCAAGTAAATCAATGCAAGTCATAATGTTAATTGAAATTAGGCAGATGCAAATTACTTGTTTTCACTCATTCATAAAAACTAGAGTCAATCTCCTAGAACTGAGTGGAACAGTGATCATTAGAGACTAAAGGGCAATGGGAAGCATTAATGGAATGAAGTTAAGTTACCAAAACACAAGTGTGTGGGTGGGAGGGGCTGATCCTGGTTTTGACAGCACAGTAGGGCAATCATTGGGTAATATGATCTATGGTACTCTTCAAACTGTCTAGAGTATGAAATCTACAACTACAAAAAGTCACTAAAGTGAGGATGTGGAAGTGCTCATGATCCTTATTTACTATAATCTGCTGCACATACCAAGTTACCCGTAAGCTACTCCCTAAGGATGTAAAATATAACATATCAACTAAAGAAAAATGGAAGGATAACTCAAAGATAAAGTGGCAAGTACTCATAGGAACTTATGATATACAAGCCAAGCTTGCTTTTACATATAACAGTAAGCAGTGTCAGTGGCCACTCTTTGCCTTCTCTAGACCCATTAGCTAACTAAGTCTCAGGGGACTTCTGACCAAGTACTCAGTGAACACCAGGAATAGAGGCAGTGATGGCTTACAGGGGCAAACTCCAAATGCTCAACAAGCAACACCTCTCCCCTCACAGAGCGCTAGAAGGCCCTAAGTGACATTGGCTTTGTGCCCCTCCCCCATCTTGACCATCAGTAAAATTACCCTATTTATTAAATACACTGACACAGTTAGCAGCAACACAGAGGATCAGAATAAAAGAAATATCAATAATTAAAACCCAATACCTTGCTTTTAGCTAATTCCTTTTCCAAATTGCATTTTTCTTTGGCTACTTCTTTTTCTGTTTTGCTAACCTATGCAGGTGGGAAAAAGAAATGGATCAATGTTTAGATGACACAGGTTTACAAGAGCAGGTGACAGCATCAATTAATACCTACACTGCCTAAGTAGCACAGCCCATCAGAAAAGGGGTCAACAGGGCTTCTGTGAGACAGGACAGACTTCACAAGTGACACAGGGCCTGCATATCAGATCCTGCTACCTTCCTCCTAACTCAAAGACAGGCTGTGTCCTTAAACTCTCACTCACCCACTTCCTTTAGAGAAATGGGTGTTTTGCATCTGACCCCATGACTAACAGGAGGGTGTGTGAGCTATCAGTTGACACTAGTGCTGTAGCAAGAGCATGCTGTAGTTGGCAGACTACATGCTGAAGAACAGGCATATCTTTATTGAAGCTCAGCATTGCCCGACTACGACTGTGAAACACCATTCTAGCCCTCAACTAGGAGGGACAGCTGCTCCTACCTCCTGCTGAAACCTCTCCTTCTCCTTTAGCAGCGACTTCTTCTCCTGCACCGATGCTTCCAGTTCACCTCGGAGGCGTGCAATAGTTGACTCCAGAAGTTCTTTTTGCACTGTTGTCCTCTTTTCAGCATCCTGCGCTTTCTGGAGACATTGACTGTGCTCAAGGATTAAATGGTCTCTGGAGGAAGAGAACCAAGGGTCATCCAGTACTGCTGGCCCCAGATGATAAATGTTCTTTCTCTCCTCTCTCTCCTCTCTTTCTCCTTCTCTCCCTCTCTCTCTCCCTCTCTCTCTCTCTCTCCCACTCTCCCTCCCTCCCTCTCTCTCTCTCTCTGTCTCTCTCTCGGTTTTTTCTTTCTTCAGAGACAGAGTACTCATAGGAACTTACTGAGTACTCTCTGTCTTGGAACTCACTCTGTAGACCAGGCTGGCCTTGAACTCAGAGACAGAGATCTGCCTGTCTCTGCTGCCTGTCTTTAACCCAGAGTGCTGGGGTTAAAGGCGTGCACCGCCCACCTCCAGGCCAGATAAATGTTTTTAATGGAACATAACTCCTACCTGACAACAGTTACCACAGGGCAGAATCTTTATCCCTGTGATTGGCTCACAAATGGGAAACTAGATACTTTCATTAAGGGCAGGGATCACAAAGGAGAGAGCAAAAGCTGCTCATGGCACTGGTTTGCTTACAGGTGTGTCTGGAGTTGGGCTCTATCATTCTGAACAGTTTGGAGTTCACCGGTGATGCTGGCATGGGCTGCGTCTAACAGTAAATTCTGCTCTTGAAATGTCTCTGTTATCATTTTCTGCTCCACCTGAGAGTTAGAGTAGTAAGAGCTGAGATGCCATTTGATGGGGTCATACAGAGTAACTGTTCAAAGACACTATGCTCATTTCAAAACTTCTTTCATTTTCACAAATAAAGTCTGTGATAAAATAGTTTGAGGACCCAGCCTTCTTGTTGGTCAGTTCTGTCATTTTATAGCTCTACTACACAAAGATGAAAATATTTGTGATATTAATTTTCCTAAAAGTAATATTTGTGAAGAAAGCATTACAACCCATTGAGTTGTTAGTCCAAATCACCCCTTTGCAAAAAGGAGGAAACTACTAATCAGAAAAAAGCAATTGGGTCATAATAACAGCCTGTAATTCTAGAACTCTGTAGGCTGAGGCAGAAGGACTGTGAATTTCAGACCAGTCTTTGAGCTGCAAAGTAAGATCCTGCTGAAACAAACAATCAAAAAGGAAAGGAGTGCTGGCAGGAGCCTGTAATTCTAGCATTCTGGAGGGGGAGCCAGCAGGGTCACAAATCAAGGTCACTCTTACTCATACTGGATTTGAGGCCGGCACAAGATAAATGAGACAGTCTTAAAAAAGAAGAAACTGTAAGCAAATAAAAGAAGTCTGAGTGTCAAGTGAATACCTGCAGAATAGCATGATGTTCAGCAATAACCCTGGCATTTTCCATTTTAACAATTTGAAGCATGTTGGTTAGTTCTGAACACTTTCTGGAAAGCTGGTCATTCAGAACCTAAGATAACATACACAGCAAGTTATAAGTCCTTCTGGTAATTACTGCACTTATTTTTTAGTGATTTCACAGTAACACACTAAGCCTACATTAGCTAACATATCAATATTTCATTAGTTTGAAAACTACTTTCTCTATGAGTTACTGAGCACAGGACCCCCCAGATATAACCAAAACAACATACGCTATTGCCTCTGTTCTTAGTTGCCCAGCATAACTCAACAGCACAGCCCTATTGCTAAAGACACTACTCACTTTGGATGTGGGACATAGTTAAATAACCTGAACTGAGCAGGAAACTGACCCTGCCAGCTAGCTTTCATAGTGCCAGAAGGTGCTAAGCAGCTGGCCAGCACTGAATGCTACAATACTGACCTGCTGGTAAGATATGTCCACTGATAAAACAGGGGCGTGACTGTTTTAGAAGAAGCCAACTGTTTTGATTGTGTATGTCTGTGCCACAGGAGCATTTTCACTCCTGGAACTACAAACCTAGTTTAAAAAGCTCCTGACTGGGGGAATAATGGGCCCTAAGAGGAAACCCACTCTTGCAATCAACTATATTCTAAAATATTTATGTTTATACCCACAGGTTTGTGCTGCTCTCAACCTTGGTCAGGGAAGCACGTTTTTGCAGGTGATAGTGGTTAACGCAGAGAATTACAACGTAGAGTACCAAGTGTAGTAACTGCGATGCTCTGTTGTGTGTGCAGTTGTAGCAGCCTCCCACCACCCACAGCTCACAGCTTTACAGAAGAGGAAGGGAGAACTTAAGGGGCAGCAGCAGATGTGGAGCAAAGGTGTGAAATGCTGACTTCAGGATGTGGCATGACTGTCACACAACTGTCAGTAGTACTGTTCATCTGCATGTAACCTGCACGAGATAAAGCCAGTCAGGAGCTACGGCAGGTTGATGACTACTGAAGCAGGCAGTGGCTTCTTTGGGGATGTGGCTGCTGGTAGGTTACCTATACCCCAGGGGCTAGCCTCATACCATGCACATATGGACAGCACTGACTGAATTCATGCTAATAATAAAAAAAGAAATTAAGTTAGGAGGGAGGTAGAGTGGGAGCACAAGGAGAATTGGTGAGAATTAGTGGTAGTTAGATGTGATCAATGTGCCTTCCACAAATGACCAAAACTTCCAACAATTTTAAAAAAATGGGAGTTTGGATTCTATAGTCAGAGGAGGGGCGCTACAGGTTAATCATTGGTATAGAAATAGTGGTGACTGTAGTAATCAAATTGTGCCAAAAGTTATTTTAAGGATAAACCCTTCACTGGGTTCTGTGAAATAGTGTGCCTGTGTATTCAGTTACTGTTCTTAATATACATTCATATGTTAATATAAAGTATAAGTTAACTTTGGATGCAACACCTTACAGAAAATGATCATACATAAATCCCAAACCTAAAAAACATTTCTTATGCTCCTACTGTACTGTTTGATACAGACCACACCAAAAAAGTGTAGTAGATAGCCCTTGATGGAGCTCCTTAGAAACGCACTGGGTAAAGGAAGAGAAATCCCAATGATTAATCTCGTCACCTGATTGACTGTAGAGTCACCATGGGAACAACCCTCTAAACATGTAAGTGGGAGATTTTCTAGATGAAGTTGAGACCCACATGAAGTGTGGGTGACACCATTCCACAGGCTGAGGTTCCACACTGGATAAGAAGGGGAAGGCAAGCTGAGGACACTCTCCTCTCCACTGCAGACCAGCTGCCATGACCTACTCAACCTAAAGTGTGAGCCACAATAAATCCTTCCCTAGATTGCTCGGCAAGTATTTTATCACAGAAAAAAAGGCCTAATAGAATGACTAAATTAGGAAGCAAAGTGTACTTGTGACTGATTTAGTCATGTACCTTGTACCAGTGTCAAAGGAAATCCAAAATGCAGTTAATTTGACAATGGTTTATAGATCATGGAAGTTGATCTTACAGAAATAAAAAGCTAGAGGAAACAATGATATGAACTTATTTAACCAAGATTATTCTTGGTTCTTTACTGAAACTAATCTCTTACGGGGGGGGGAGGGGGGCAAAGATTTACCTTTGCTTTTTCCGATGCGTCTTGAAGGGATATTATTTCAGATTTCAAATATTTATTTTCTTCATGTTCCTTGTTGAAAGATATTTGTGTACTCTATTGAAGAAAAAAAAGACTTGTTCTCTTTTTCACATGGGCAAGATATTATGCACATCTCTAGGTGCGTACGGAGTCTTTGTATCTTTGACTTCCAAACACCCTTTATTTCTCAGTCACCAAAGGGCTTATACAAAGCTGATATGGATGCAGAGCACTCTCATTGGCTGCTGGTGGGAATGAAAATCATGGAGCACTTCAGAGGCAGTTTGAAAATTCTTACAAAACTAAAACTGCACTCATCCAGCAGCCTTGCTCCTAGGTTTTTTTTCTCATGGAGCAGACAGTTCACGCTCTTGCAAAAACCTTCATGTAGATATTAGCATCTGTTCAGCTCTTACTTGTTGAACTTGAAGGCAACCAAGATGTCCTCCAGAATCTTGCTCAATTTAAAAGTACCTAACTTTTCCTGGCTCAGACTTTTTTTTTTACAATACTGAAACTTTTGTATTCTAGTCCCTATAGCACAAATTATTGAAGTGTTCACTTACCCAAGTTAAACTGATATACAACAATATTTGATAATATGCTGTTACACATTAATCTAGATCCAAGGAATGAACAAATATCCAAGAATGGACCTTATATATACTACTAACTTGATTAAAATAATACAATAATATTGATTCATCTTAGTCCAGTGGGAGATGTTGACAGCCAGGGAGACTATACATATGTAGAGAGGCCAAGCATTTAGAGGCAGGGGGTAGATAGTAAATCTATATACTTTATGTTCTATGTGGTGGTGATGTAAAATTGCTCTAAAAGTTATGATTTACTTTTAAAGACTTTATTAAATAGAGTTTCATGTTAGGATTCTGACTAGAAAAAAATGATGAAACCATTCCATAATTACTCACTTATATTCTTATATTGAGTCCGCTCTCTCCAAGAATAAATACTTTTATCACATACACATTTTTATTAGCAGTAAGATTTTGTGATTCCAAAGGAACACATTCAAACACCTTTAAAAGTTACAAGATGTTTTCACCAGTAAGGACCTCAGGTTGGAGAAGGGAAGCACCTGTGCTGAGGAACACAACTAGTTCTCTCTGGGATTGAGGAAGGGGAGAGACAAGTGAGGGGTGACTGGAGATTCCACAAGAGCTTCTTGGTAGAAGAGGGATGGGCAGAGTGTAGCTTCTTCCTCCATTGAGAAAACTGCTTCTCTATTTCCAAAGAAGTGGGAAATGAACACCACACTACACAGGGTGAGACAGTAACAGAAAACCATTCCAGATGGGAGCACAGAGATTAATTTAAAGTTATAACAAAATATAAAGCTGTTTTCTAAATTTAGTTAAAATGAAGTTCAGCTGATTTATGTGATCCTTTTGTTCCTGAAGCTTTTTGAAGGATCAGAAGTCTATATACTAGCATTAGCAGACTGTGACTTAATAAAGAGAGAGACCATCTCTGTACTCTGCCACAGGAATTCTGCCACATACCTTATTCTCTTCAACCAACTTGCAGATGATGTTATCTCTGGAAACTAAAAACAAAAAGTCCATATGATGATGATGGTGACTGAGCACACAGAAACCACACAGCACTCTTTCCCTAGGCGCTTTGGTTGTTCTAGTCAATGTTTTATGGAAATAATAACACATGTATTTTAATCATATTTTCATAGACTAGACAAGAAAATACACAGTTATCAACACATCATGTCTGTAATCTCTGCATTTGAGAGACTGAGGCAGGGGGGATCATGAGTTCATGGTCAGTCTGGGCTACATGACAAATTGTCTTTAAAGACTTAAAATTAATCAGAAAAAAGTAAATTTAAAAAAGAATCTGGTCCATTGTTACTTTTAATGGCAAATAAAGTCATATTTTATTCAATGTATAGATTATTCTGGGAGGGATATAATCAATATTTTTGTTAAGTTACTCTAGCCAAGACTTAATAAAACCAGGGATACACACATGAAATAATAAGGTCTATTTTCCTACTGGGCAACGACAATGAAAACAGAGGGAAAACAAACTGATGAAAAAGGAGAAAGGATTGTTGGGACCTGGGTGAGTATGCAGAGTGCAGACAGAGGCAGCAGGGTAGATGCTAGACTCCAGCTACATAAGGACTGCATGGAAGGAGCCGACTTCAGAAACAGAACAAAACGGATGAATGGATGCTGACATTTTCCTCATGTTCTGATGTATCTGCCTGGCATCCAACTACAGGTGTTGATTTGACAGCAGGATAGTGGTCTAGAGCTTTGAAGGGTGACTTCAGGGTTAGATGTGAAACCATTCACAGGCTGTAACTGAAGACAGAAAACTAGGGAACAGAACTGAGCTGTGATTCCATGTTAAAGCATTTGTCACGCACATGCAGGAAGGAAAATGGGGCAATAGTTTGGCGTTGCATAACACTTGAAATTAATGTTTTGACTTTATAGAAAAATATAGACCTATATTAGTGTTGTTATTCTTAAAATTTAAAGCCAGGCAATTACAAAACATGTTAAAAACTTTTATTTTGCATAGGCTATTGTAAAGAAACTGTTTTATAAAGATGTGAATCAATGACTCACTGAAGTCCAATTTAAAATGTGTGAAAATGTAAAGAGATAAATGTTGTGATCTATTCTAAAGTTATACTCAAAGTATGAGCAAAAGGAAAATGTCTATCTTCAGAGAACAATTACTTTAAGCTATGTGCTGTTTACTATTAATATGCTTTTCCATTTTAATACATTGAAGAAAATACTTAAAGACATTTTTTCTTAACCTAGTCATATAGCTATTTGTACCTTAAAGCAATAAAACTGTACATAAAGAGTCAATAACACTGAGCATACAGTTGATATCCAGTAAGGTTTCTTTTCTTTCATGCTATCTTGAATTACTACTGTGTTTAATCTTCATCCAGTGGCCTTCCACATATGTTTTACAAAATCCAAAAGCTAAATAAATCACTAATCTAAGTAACAGAAGACCCACTGAACAGAGAACTCATACACAGAACAATCTGCACCTCAGTCCCTGTTGTTCTGTGTGGAGTGGGGTCCTCAGGCACAGTCTCCACATCTTTTTACTGTGTGTAAAGGTATATTTTCTTACTATCTAACGAAGTTGTCTTAAAGTGAAAATGAGATCCTGGGGAAGAAACATGGAATGTAACGCAAATGTGTGTAGGTGTACAATAGAAGACAGAAGGTTATCTCAGGGCACTGCTAGTGAGAACCTGACACAGTGACTCACTCAGCAGCCCCAAGGAAAGGTCACTAACCATTGTAGAAAGCATTGGTTTACTCTTTTCTCTACACTTTTTGTCTTGTTTATTCTTCTGTTGGTGCTTTCTCTCTTATTGCAGGTAGCATACTAGAGAAGACCCAGGATTAAGTTTTTCTTCTCCATTTCTTTTGGAACTTTGAATGGCTATAGACAGCTTTGTGCATTCAATGATACAATCTATGTGAAAGTTCTATGTAAAATATTATTCATGTGCAAACTCATGGTCTATGCAGGGGAGATTGCTAATTCTGCTTTACAGTGGCATACTGACCACAGTAGAGCCAAAGGGTTGATGGGTTCGAAACAGCATGACTACCCATCTAGACTTGGGGTCAAGACTCTTCCATTCACCACTCTGTCCCTTTGAGAACTAATAAGGAAATTACTCTAAGTTCTTCTTACTGGTGCATTACAAACACACATCTCTATGAACATAGGCTTACCCAGATTGACAACTGGAAGAATGGTGAATCTGGCTACAATAAGTAAGAGAAGCTTCCTTTCCTTATTAATAGTTTATCGACACATTATATCCAGTGTCTAAATGTTCCCACTAGTACATATTTGAGTGATCATGGAAGGGAAAATATAAAGAGAATGTTTTATAAATAAGGGGCTCGGGCTGGAGAGATGGCTCAGCTGTTAAGAGCACTGGATACTCTTGCAGAGGTCCTGAGTTCAGTTTCCAGCAATCACATGGTGGCCCCTAACTATCCATAATGAGATCTAGTGCCCTCTTCTGGCCTGCAGGTATACATGCGGGTCTAACATTGTATTCATAATAAATAAATCTTAAAGGAAGAAAGGAGACAGAGAGACAGAGAGAGACACAGACAGACAGACAGACAGACAGAAAGACAGAAATAAAGAAACATAAAAAGAAGAGGCTAAACTAGGCCTAGTGGGACAGACCTGCAATCTTAGATGTGTAAGACTTAGAAGATCACACATCTAATGCAAATGTGGACAACTTAGTGAGACCCCATCTCAGCAAATAAACACACAAACAAATCAAACCCAATGAAGGTCATGGAGCAAGCTCAGTGAAGAGTCTGCCTAGTATAGGTAAGGCCCTACCCAACCTTATACCACACACAGAGAAAATTAATATCAAATTTTATTACCAATATTTATCTTGGTTTCAATACTATATAGTGAGAAGCCCAGCAATACTTTTTACCACCAACGCTGGCCAATTAAAGAATTCAGGCTCTTAGAAGTTTTTGCATACTTAGATCAGACTTGAGCTGTGAGGCAGTCATCTCCAACTCTCCATTCTTTTGCTGCTCCTGTGCCAAAAGTTCTTGGGTGGTTTGTATAGAGCTGCGTAGGGCAATGCAGTTCTGCTGCAAAGTGTGCACCTGAAATTGTGTTAAGAAAAACTATTTCTGTAAGATAATGCATGGTCTGATAGAACACACAGAAGGCAGAATTTTCAACCTTAGTGTCACTAAGAGCAAAGGGACATGCCTGTATGTCCCAGCTGAAATCTCAGCAGACCAGTTTCTTACTTGAGTGCTGTCCAATGGAGCATCCTATGTACACTTAAACAACTGTCGCCAGTCACAGCAGACTGCTGAGCACATGAGGGCAGCAGAGCAAGAGAAGGACTGCATCTTTAGTTTTATTTATTTAGCCAATTTGATTTAAATAGGATCTTTCATAAATTCCTTAAGTAAAATAGACTCATTTTTATAATTCAGCTGTCATTGGTAAAAATGATAAAGATTATGTACTCAAATAGTAAATACTAAAATGCAAATTTAAAGTACCTTAAACACACAAAGGTGCTTCAAATAATAAAGATAATGAAGGCAAAAATATCATGTTAATGTGAATATGATACATGAAAACAGCAACATAGGTATGTCCCTGGTTATTTTACTTATTTGCTTCAAAGGTTAGTTCCATTTAGTCTTTATTTTCTAAGCAGATCAGATACATATAGCATTAGCTAGAGCAACAGCTTCCACAATCAATGCCCGTAGCAGAGACTGCATGGTACAGAAGGCTACTGTACCAACATAATTCACCTCTATAAAACCTGAGGGCTTGGCTTTCTCATTCATGAATTAAGACTGTTGGGTTAAACAGCAGAGTGTTTCTTATTTTGCACTATATTTTGAAGACTGCATATAGTTAGCATATTAACAGGTCACTAAGGAAAAGAACCTCAATAAATCTAGAGGAAATAAACAAACTGATGAGCTTGTGGGTAAGAATGCCAACTCTCCCTTCTGTGTTTCACTTCTCTAACAAACAAGGAAAGCAAATCTCTACCTGCTTCCGTTCTGCCTCCACTGTTGAGCCCATTTCTTGTATTTTGAGTAGCATGGATGATGCAGATTTCTCAAGAGATTCCCTGAAGTGCTTCTCCTGAGCCAGTTGTCTCCTTAGCTGAAGAGCAACACTGAAGTTAGGGAGACCAATGGATACCACTCCAGCTCAACAAAGATGCAATCATCACAGCCTCTCATTCCCACACCTTCACATTACTTTGAAACACCTCATTCCTCCCTAAAAATGAAGTCGAGCTTGCTGACTCATCTTTCTGTTGTTGAAGTCTGTTTTACAAATTGGGGGTCAAGACCCACTAGTAACTTTCAAGCGGCACATAGAAAAGGAAGGCAATAGAAATGATGGTGCACAGCAAGTTCTGAGGACAAGAAAACATCAGGCGAATATCTAAGTGACACCAAAATCTACGAAAGACATGTTCTAATTAGACCTCATGAAGGGTTTTCATTCTCTGAAAGATATTACCAAGAAAATGAAAAGACAAACTATAGGCTGGCAGAAAATGTTTAAATATGACACATTTTGATAGATTATTTGTATTCTCTCTTAGTCTTTTGTATGTCACTGTAACAAAATATCTGAGGCTAGATGATGTATGAAGAATGTGGTTTATTTAGCTCACGGGTCTTGTTGGTTTTAAAGATTTGAGTGCTCTATCTGTGTGTATGCCTTTATGACAAAGAGGGCATCAGATCCCACTATAGATGGTTGAGAGCCACCATGTAGTTGCTAGAAATTGAACTCTGGACCTCTGGAAGAGCAGCCAGTGCTCTTAACCTCTGAGCCATCTCTCCAGCCCCTACCTCAACATTTTGGGAGCTAAAGTTCAAGACTGGACAATCACACATGTTCAGCTCTGGTGAGGGCTTCATGACAGAAGCAACATGTAGTAATACCACACAGGCAAGAGAAGAAGTCACACAGACTTACTCCTTTCTATAGCAACTCCACTTTCATTGGTACTGATCTGGGCTCTGTGAAAGCTACATGAACCCCCTCCAAGGATGATTAACCTCAATTAGCACTTTCCACTAGGCCTACATCTCTTAAAGGTCTGACCACTGCCCAAGACCACTGGGATCCAGCTGGTAGCACGAGTCTTTACAGGGAACCTCCAAAAGTATATCAAGTAACAAACTCAAAACTAAGCCACCTCAGTAGGAGACAACAATCTAAAATACAGTTCACCAATGGAGATATATACAAGAAAATAAGTACACAAAAAGATTCTCACATCATGTAACATTGGGGTATTCAAATTAGAACAAGATAAACCATACATCTATTAGAATGTCAAAAATTCAAGACCCTGGCACCAAATGATGAGGAGAATGTGCAGCAACAAAGATTCTTATTCTTCCATGGCAGAAATGCAAAATCATCTCGTTAGGTTGTAAGATGGGTTGGTGGTTCCTAACAAAGCTAAATATGGATTGCATTACAGCCAGTAATTACACTCTGAAGTTATTTACCCAAATGAATGGAAATTGTTTTTTATTCTTAGGAATTTCACAACATGCATTCCAATCCTACTCATCTCCCAGTCCTTCTATATTCACCTCTCCCTCTTGTAGTATCCCACCAAAGGAAAATAAACAATAATAATAAGGAAAACATTTCACTCCTCCATCTTTTCCACCTCTCCATTGCTTCTTCATTCATCTTAGCAGCACTGAGAGCTGCTGTGCATCATACAATCTACGCTTCTGTCCAAACAACTTTACTTGAAAATGTTTATTGTGTATTACGTTTGTTGGTCAGGTTCAAGGCCTCTGGCTTTAGTACACCACTAATACTTAACCCTCACTGGCATTCTTCTCCGATATCCTGCAGCTATGGGTCCCTAGGATCAGTCCCTTCTCACACTCCAGCAGCTCATAGATGGGGTAGATATTGGGGTGTGCCTACTACAAGCCCTGGAAGTATGCCAGGATGGCAACTGAGTTGGTCAGTCCAGGCCACTGGTACTCTACTCTCAGATGAGGGACAGGCCACTGAGGTTGGGTTGGTTCTGGTAGTGACATGTCCCTCAAACTCCATGGCCACAGGTGGTAACCCAGAACCCTTTCGTGGCAACAAAGGCTATGGGCATCATCACAGATCCCGGCCTCTGTAGGACCACAGACCTAGACATGGTCCTCAAAAGCAGCCTGGGCCCAGATGCCACCATGGCCCCAGAGGGCAGTGCAAGCCAATAAGTGGAAATCTTATGTTCAAACAAACCTGTAAGACACCAGGATGTTCTGATTGGTGAATGGATAAAGAAACTGTGCTTAAATAGTATATCTACTGGCTTAATGGGTACTTTGTTTTTTGTTGTTTTGGTTTGGTTTGGTTTCATTTCAGTTTTAACAAATAAGAATATCTTTAAGCAACTGAGGGTAAATAATCTTGCTTCAGTTATATGTGGCATTTTTTAAGTGTTCATACAATGACATGCTTTCTTTCTCAAAGGATTCTTTTCATTCTTACACTTTCTTGATTTCCCTTTGCAATTCCAATGCCTCCTCAAAATTTCCTATCTTTTCTCTTACCTCTTGAATCTTAAGGTTCATTTTACGCTTTGCGGTCTTTAGCTCCTCCTCAATAACAGCTGCATTCTTCTAAAAAGAGAAGGAGAAAAGATCTAATAACCTGAAATGACAGGAAGAAACTGTCTCTAGGTGCATCGAGTCAAATTCAGTTTTCTTTTCCCTTGGAAGCTTATAAGTGCTATTTTTTTGCATGTGTCTATGTGTATACGTACGTGCATATGCACATGTATATATGTGTAGGTACATGGGTGTGTACATGTGTGCATATGCATGTGTATATATTATGGGTACATGTGTGTACATGTATATATATGTGTATATGTGCATATGGGTACACATGAGTGTACATGTGTGCATATATATGTGTGTATGTGGGTACATGTACATGTGTATATATGCATGTGTATGTGGAGGTCAGAAGAGGCAATAGGTATCTCCCTGGATTACTTTCTGTCCTACAGATTAGTAAGGACCTCTCACCTGAACTTGACCTGCCATCCCTGAATCTGCTGGTCTGGTTAGCCAGCTTGCTCCTGGGATCTTGTTCCTGCCTTCTGAATGTTAGTGTTGCTTGCTTAGAATTCATATAGGTATGGGGATTCAAATTCCATTCCTCGCAATTAGATAACCCCCATTTCTTTTTAAGATTTATTTTATGCGTATGAGTGTTTGGCCTGCATGTAGATATGTGTGCCTACAGAGGCCAGAAGGGGGTGTGGGATCCCCTAGAAAGGGAGTTACAGACATTTAAGTGCTCCCATATGAATGGTAGGAATCAAACCTGGGTCCTCTGCAAAAGCAACAAGTGCCCTTAACCCAGTAAATGGAGGGAGGGAAGGAGAGAAGGAGAGAGAGAGAGAGAGAGAGAGAGAGAGAGAGAGAGAGAGAGAGAGAGAGAGAGAGAGAGAGAGAGAGAGAGACTCACTATGTAGACCAGGCTGGCTTCAAACTCAGAGATATGGCTGCTTTTTAAGTGCTTGAATGTATTTTAGAAGGCATATACCACCACTATCAGTTTCAAATACTATTCATGCTTAGGAATTCAGAATGAAAAACACAGTTTTCAATCATTTATCAATGGTACCACAATCCTAAATATACAGACTCAAATAGTGGTTGTCTTCTTTCCTACCCTCAGTTTCTATCTTGTATCTGACTCTAGAATTTCTTTCATAAAATACCCTTTGCTTTCAAAATGCCATAATTCTAGTTCTCCCCTATGTAGACTCCTAACTCAACATAAAAGATGCCTACTTGGATTCTTTGCTATCATTCTCCTGTCTCCATAGTCACAATACAATAACATCTAGTTAGTTTTTCCTCTTGTCAGTGCACCGTTCTGCATCAAATTCTTAATCAGTCCCCCCCTGGGTCATCCAAAGGATTAATTATTCTTGATTTTTATATACTCTGCAATGTGACATTAGCTAGTACTAAGCTTACTTGCCAAAAATTCTCACTCCAGTAAAGCTGGAGTTTATACATTTTAATCCAATGGTACCCAGCAAAAAACTCTGAGTAACAGGAAGAGGACAAGCACAAGATGACTGTGGCCAGGAGACCTCTCTCAGCCCTACTATTCTTTTTAAAATAGACTTTTATTTAATAATGTGCTACTTCTTAAGGCCTTTAAAATAATCTGATTTATTACCCTGTCTAGTCTATAGGAACAGAACAATGTTGCTGGTTTCCTTTCTAAGCAGTAGTCCTCTTTGCTGTCTGTGAATGTGTTCCCTGAGATGCCCTTAGGCACTTTGCCTTGAGATCAAGTGTATCTTTTCTGAAGTTGACCTGATCTATATTGGCCGATTCTCCTCCTCTCAAACATGCCTGAACACAGTCTTTCTGTGCAATGTGCACTCAGTGTTCTGTTTTCTACTTTGACTTTTCCTATTTAATTTGTAATGTTATGCCCTCACCTCCCAGCTACCATGTAGCTCTTAAAGAGGACAGAGCCTAGATATTATCTTTTATATACAGCAAGGTGGTATATGAATAACCACTGACAGCACACACTAATGCCAAGAATATAAATCAACATCACCCATTTGTAACTCAGTCTTAGGGAGCTGTTGCCCTTTTCAGGGAAACCGCACTTCAGAACCCTCAACACAAACCTTTGTCTCAGAGGCAATTTCCAGAGTGGCTGCCAGTCTTTGCACTTCATCTTGTGCCTTGTCTTCCTCCTCCTTGACATCTTTCAGTTGCTGGCGCAAGTTCATCACTTCAAGGCGCAACAGCTTCAGGTCTGTGGAATGTTCCTCCTGTATTGTATTCAGCTGATCCTTCAGAAAAGCTATGTATAGCACAGGACAGAGCAGAGAGGTGAACAAAGGCACAGAAGGACAGAAGGACAGAGGAGAAGGGTGAACAAAAGCACAGAATCACAAAGATATCAAGCACCCACACAGAACCAAATTCTCTGCAATCCTCTTCAACCTATACCTGTTTTCTGTGGATTCAACTCCTGTTCAGTTTGTAGACGACAGATGTTCATCTTCAAGGACTGGATGAGGTTTTCCAAATGGCACATTCGATTTACCAGAAACTCACAGTTCTTCCATAAAATACCTGCTTTTTCTGGACAAATTACTTCACTTGAAATAGGACTAATGACTTTCTGTCTGGCAGGGTCTTCAAAATAGTTTGAAGTTTCCAATTGACCTCTGGAAAATCACCACAAAGCAGTATCAGATAATGCAGTTTCTACTGGGGTGAAACCAGTCACATGAGCCAATGTAGCCTTTTAATTAGAATGGCAGTGACCAGCAACCTGACTCCCTTGGACAAGAATGCACCTAATAAGCATCTAACAGATCAGTTCCTTCTAAGAGTGTCAGAAACAAGATAAGCCTCTTCCACACTGGGCAATTATAAATATCCACACTGGATGTGTAGAAAAGGCTGAGGCACAGTTACACAGTTAAATCCAACCCCTACCCAGGGCATGTACTGGACAACTAGGACAAAATCTCCGACTTCCCAAGGCTAGAAGGACAGAAGCAGGTGAAATATGTCAGCCTAACTCTTACATTCTCAGGGCTCTGGGCCCTGAATTCTCCTGGACATATGAACAAAGGGATAAAGAGTACACATGCCTCTAAACCACAGAACAAAATGACAGTTCTATAAATATGCACACTGCCAAGGTCTTGACTCCCCAGGAAGAAGATCCTAAAAGCGGTTTGCCAGTGTCCTCTCCTACTGCTGTTGACTAGTGAGGTAAGCAGACCAACAAATGGAGCTCAGGAGCCTACAGAGGAGCTCAGCACTTCCCAAGCCGTCTCTCCAGCTTATCCTACAACTACCAATTTAACTAAAGAGAAAGAAGCTAGTCCACTGCTGAATGCCCTGGGAAAGAATGCATCCAAATTCTCCTAGCTCTCTCTGTGGAAAGGAAGGGACATTTGAGAGTCTTTGTAGGTCACACTACCAACAGGCGGTGCAAGCACAACTAGAGTCTCTACTCTTAGGGATCCCCGCCGACAAGGAGCTAGAACACATAGCGCCTAGTTTCTGCATTGAAGGGTTTCTTTGCACATGCTTGCAGTGACCTGGCTTCTAGCTAACTTGCATGCCAAAGTGTGGTGCTTTAAATAAGTATGACCCCCGTAGACTCATGCATTTGAATGCCTGGCCTATAGGGAATTATAGTGATATGTTATTTATGATTTATTAAAGCTTGACTGAGGATTCAGAAAAGCAAAGTCAGCCACAAGCCATAGAAGCCAGGCGCACACCTTTAATTCCAGCAGCCAGAAGCTAGAAGGTGGTGATATATACCTTTAATCCCAGGACTCAGGATTAAGAGATGGATCTCTGTGAATCCAAGGCCACTCAGATCTATACAACAGTGAATCAGTCTAAAAGAGAACTATAGCTCACACCTTAAACCCAACATTCGGGAAGTATATAAGACAGAAGCAAGGTCTCAGAGAGGAATTAATTCTCCAGCCATGCTGAGGACAGGTTACAGTCTGAGGCTTGGTGAGAGCTTGTGAAGACAGGACCAGCCCAATCAGCCTGAGGTAGAGGTAAGAAGCTAGTGGCCAGCTGGTTTGTTTTTCTGATCTTCAGCTTGAAACTTGGACTCCCAATATCAGTCTCTGGGTCTTTTATTTTTCATGTTACAGAGAGTGGCACTATTAGGAGAGGTGGCCTTGTTGGAGTAGGTATGGTTTTGTTGGAGGAAGTGTGTTACTGTGGAGGTAGCTTTGAGGTCTCAAATGCTCAAGCTATGCCCAGTGTGGGAGTCAGTTCACTCCCTGCTGCCTGTGCGTCAAGATGCAGAACCCTAAGCTCCTTTTCCAGTACCATGTCTGCCTGCATGCTGTTGTTTCCAGCCATGATGACAATGGGGCTAAAACTCAGAAATTGTAGGCCAGTACCAATTAAATGTTTTCCTTTATAAGAGTTGTCATGGCCATGGTGTCTCTTCACAACAGAAACCCTAACTAAATCAGAAAGTAACAAAGTAAACAAAACTCCAATTGCCTGAAGGAAGCATAGCATTTCCTGAGCCTTTTCCAGTCTCACTGTGGTGACGACAGGTCTGCAGATCCTTCCTGAAACAATTCTAAGGCTGAATGTCCCCACTTCTATAGATTCTACACAAAGAACTATATCTTTAACCACCTAGATCTGGGACTTGATGAGGTTTTGCATTTCTCAATGTCCCTAGGCTACCAAAAGATAAAGAGGTGAACATGAGCCCACTTCCAACAGCTATTTCCCAAAGACATTAATAAAGATGCCCTTGAAAGTTAGTGCAGACAATAGGCAATACATGTCTGCTTTCAGCTTCACCCTGAGGACTGATGAACTGGAACATGAATCTAGCTGCAGCTAGATGGCCTGCCCTTTTTTCTTATCTATTGCAAAGGACTGACAAGCAAAAACCATATGACTGTTTCAATAAACACAGAAAAAAACCAACAAATCCAACATCCTTTCACCAAAAAGGTGCCATCAAACTACACATAGGAGGAGCGTTCCTCAACAAAGTAAAGGCCATAAATGACAGGTCTAAAGTTAATACCACAGTTGTAAAAAGTTGAAGGCTTTCCTCTAAGGTATGGAGTAAAGACTAGGAATGTCTAATTTCACCACAAGTATTCAGCAGAGAATTGGAGAAGCCCTAGCAATTAGGAAGCAACAGAAGTAAAAGGCAGTGAATCAGAAAAGGAATTAAACTGTCTCATTTTACTAAAGATAACCATGATTAGAAGACAGTAAGAGGGTCTGGGGAGGTGTTGCCTTGTAAGCAGAAAAAAACTCATGTCCTTAGTTCAGATCCCCAGCAACCCACACCCACATCCTGAATTCAGATCCCAGCACCCCCACAAAAAGCAGAGGCATTCATGTATAACCCCAACAGGTGTGGAGGGGCACTAGCCATGCATGTGTACACAGGCCAGGGGTTGAGGGTTAACACTGGGTGACTTCCTCAATCTCTACCTTATTTTTTGAGACTGGGTGTCTCACTGAAATTGTAACTCATCAATTAAGCTAGCCTCACTGGCTAGTTAGTCCTCCTGTGTCAACCACCCCAGCACTAGGATTACAAGCACTGATATGCCCAGCTCTGAGGGGAGGTGGGGGATGGGATAGGGAGTGTGAGTGTGGGTCTGAACTCAGGTCCTCAGCAAGCAGTTTACACTGAGCCATTTTTCCATCCCTTTGGGTGTTTATTTTAATCTGAAGTTAAAAAAAACTTTCAAAATAAATCAACACAAAACATGTGATACATAAAACATGATAAATATTAATTTTATAGTGGCAACTTAGGAATTAAAGTTAGCATAGAAGCAATATATTCATATTTTTAAAAATATTTAAATAAAAATAATGAAATTTCCTGTTGTCTTATTAAAACACTCAGCATTTATGCTAAATTTAATATTTAAATGATAAAAGTAATTTATGGGTTCTACAATAACTATACTACTATTATGCTTTAATGTGAGACACTCAGAAAATACATATGACCTTCCTTACATTTTTGGTTGTGAGCCTAGCCTTTAATGGCGAAGCCATCTCTCCAGCCTACATATGACCTTTCTAAAACAAATCACACCAACAAATTCTGTATTGGCTGCATAAACATGTATATCCCTTACTATTAACAAGGCAACTAACTTTAAAACAACAAAAAAATTCTTTAGCAATGGGGGCGCAATTCTGTAATAATTTCTCATTCTAAAGCATGAAACAGGTTAAGGATTTCAAATGTGTCTTTTAATTTATAATAAATGATAGAAAAAAATGAAGACCAACTTAATGGCATGAATAATTTTGGTTCTTCTTTAAACTGATTTCCAAATAAGATCTAAAGCAGTGCTTGTGGCTGAACGCTATGTGTATAAAGTGCTCCCCATGGGCTCAAATGTTAAAGGCATAGGTACCCAGCTGGTGGACCCAACCATTCAAAAGTAACAGAATTGAAAGTTAACACTGATGGGTTCACACTGAAGATGCCATTAGGAGCTAGGGAACTGCTAAAGGAAATCTGTGTCTTCTCCCACTCTCCTAACTCTACCCTTTCTGGCTGCCATGAGGTATTAGGTTTGCCCTATTAAGTCTCCTCTGCCATGACACTTTGCCTCGCCTCAGGCCCACAGTGATAGGGTCAAGCACCAAGAGCTCAAACTTTTGAAGTGACAAGCCAAAAGCAAATCCTTCCTCCCTTAGGATGTCCTCAAGGGCATTCTGTTATAGCAACAAAGACCTGACTAACATCTGGTGGTGCTCTGAATGAGACTTGCCCACAAGTCTCAGGCATTTGAGTACCAGAGGGTTAGGAGTGTGGACTTGTTGGAGGAAGCATGTCACTGAGGGTGGACTTAGAGGTTTCAAAAGGCCCCTGCCATCCCCACTATCTTCTGTTTCCTGGTTGCTGTTCAAGAAGTGAGCTCCCAGCTGCTCCTCCAGCTGCCTTCTGCTTTCTAACTCCAGTCCACCATCATGGACTCATAGCCCTGAGGAACAGCAAGCCCCAAATAAGCCATTTCTTCTGTAAGTTGCCTTGGTCAAGGTGTTTTATCACAACAATAGAAAATGCTAAAATCGTATCTGTATCGTAGAATGGCAACTCTATCTAAAAATATGCTTGCTTCAAAGTTCATACAGAAAGTTTCCAAAAGCATCTACCTTGTCTGTTTTTTACTAAGCATCAACTTAAAATTCTTCAAACTGAAGCAATCTAGTTAATTTTGTTACCGTTTGTCACCATAGCCCAGCATTATTAGGTCATCTCTCAGAGAACTGGTCTGTTCCTCAACAATTCTCATCTTCTGCTGAAGTATTGTGAATGTCTCAGAAGCTGTCGCGTTGATATGGGTTGGAGACAGGACTGGTCTGCACACTGTAGTTTCCATATGCATCTAAGGTCACAAGGCTACAATGTTAGCATAGGAGTTTCTCTTACTGTTAGAAACAGTCACTGGCTCTTCCTTGTTTACTAGGGAACAGATGTGGTTCTGTTTTGCTCAAATATGAAGAGAAGTTTTAAAAGCCAACTTCTCATTCACCTTTTTCTCCCTGCTTCATGAGATAAGCAGCATCCCAGATAGATTTGTTCCATGGACCAGGGTCCCAGAGTGACAATGACATGAAATATCCAGACATACAATGAGTGAGTGAACAGTAGACCTACATAGCTGTGGTAGTTATTGAGATTGTTGAGTACTCTTACTACCATATCATAATCTAGTCTACCCTATTTGCTATTAGTAGACACATACTAGGGACCTGAGGCATTTGAGGGACATTTCTCTATTGTTACCATTCATTCCTATTATGACATCATAGTTATTAAGTGTCCTCCAAAAGGATGAGGTTGAAGCCTTGGTATCCAGCATGGTGGATCCAATTAGGGAAGGTTGGTCCTGATGACACTAACTTCATCACAGAACTAATCCTTTGATGAATTTACACTCAATAAGCTATTCGGAAGTTAAACCTCATTAAAGGTAGCAGTAGCACACTGGGCACATGTCTGTTAAGAGGACCACTTGCCTAGATTTCCACTTCTCTCTCCCACTGCCTCCCAAAGAGTAGCAGTGCTCTGCTATCCTGTCACGATGCTCTCTCTGCCTTGCTACAGGACTTCAGTGATGGGGCCAAGCGACCACAGGCCAAAAACTGTGAAAACATGAGCTATGATAAATCCTTCTCCCGTACGTTTATGTTTTAGACTTTTTGTTACTATGACAAATAACTGAGGAAAACTTAAGAGGACCTACTTTAGTTCACAAACTAAGAGGCTTCAACCCAGCATCACGAGAAGGGTGTTGTAGAGCAGAGCAGCTCATAACACAGTGGCCAGGAAGTAGGGAAAGATAATGTCTGCACTAACAGGCTTTAGATTTTCCTCCCTTGACCTGAGTTCAAGCTCCAAAACCCATGAAAAAAGCTTGATACCCTAACCCTTATATGCCATCCTAGAGCCTTCATCCAGTAGCTGATGGAAACAGAAGTAGACACCCACAGCTAAACATGAGCTGAACTCCTGGAATCCAGTTGCAGAGAGGAAGGAATGATGAGCAAAGGGGTCAAGACCAGGCTGGGGAAACCCACAGAAACAGCTGACCTGAACAAGGGAGAGCTCTTAGATCCCAGACTGATAGCTCGGGAACCAGCATAGGACCGGACCAGGACCCCTGAACATGGGTGCCAGTTAGGAGACCTGGGCAGTCTATGAAGCCTCTGGTAGTGGATCAGTATTTATCCCTAGTGTACGAATGGACATTGGGAGCCCATTCCCCATAGAGGGATACTCTCTCAGCCTAGATAAACGGGGAAGGGTCTAGGCCCTGCCCCAAATGATGTGACAGACTTCAATAATCCCTCATGAAGGCCTCACCCTTTCTATGGAGCAGGAGGATGGGGGTCAGTGGGGGGTATGGGAGGATGAGAAGGAGAAGGAACTGGGATTGACATATAAAATAAGGTTATTTCTAATTTAAATAAAAATTTTACTTACAAAAGTCATTTTTAAAAAGCTAGATACAGTGACTGTGCATTTATAAGCACAGCACTGGGGAAGCAGAGACAAGACTTCCTGGAGCTTGCTGGTCAGCCAACTTAATCTAACTGGTAAATTCCAGGGCAAGTGAGAGATCCTGCCTCAAAAAACAATGTGACCTGATGCTAACCTATGGCCTCCAAATGCATACACACTACAAACAGCCACACTGCATACAAAAATAAATACAATTATTAGCTTACTGTTTGTCTACAGCAGTGTTCAAATACACCTTACAACCTATTTTCATAACAGGAGCAAAAACTCTTTACAGGTATTATTTCCCTAGTCTCATCTCCTTAAAATCAGTGAAACTAAGGGGAAGTAGGACATGTTTTAGCAAGTTGTCCATTTAAGAGTACTTAGTGCAATTATTCACAGCAAAAAAAGAACAAAAAAGAAAAAGAAAAAATAGTACTGTACTACTAGAATGTTTGAGGAGGAGGGAGATGTACTTTATTGGTAGAGCGTTTTGCAATTTAGCCTTGTTTAGTCATGAGTACTACATAAACATGACTTGGTAGTACATGCCATGCCAAGACTTGAAAGGTAAAGGCAGGATAATCACAAGTTCAAGGTCATTCTTGATTGGATAATACATCTAAAGCCAGCCTGCCCTACATGAGACTCAATAGACAGACAACAGTAACAACAAAACCCCACTGAAATGTTTGAGGAAGGTCGAGAATGGAGATGTGGCAGAATAACTACAAAGCACACAGAACATCATAATGTGATAAGAAAATTAATCACATCGTATCTATTGTCCAGTGTCTTCAGCTTATGGGCATGAAGGGAAGTTCACATCTACTAACTTTTTTTTATGTCTTCAACTTGTAAAGCAGAAGACAAAGACACAGGCAGATGTTAATGGAGAGTCTGGACATATGTCTGACTTTTCTATTGCTGTGATAAGACACCAGGACCAAGACAACTTATAGAAGGGGCTTACAGATTCACAGGGTTAGAATTCATGACATCATGATGGAGTGCATAACAGGAGGCAGGAAGTCATGGCATTTGAGCAGTAGCTGAGAACTTACATGAGGAGACAACAGCATGAGGCAGAGAGAGAAGCTAATTGGGGATGGTGTGAGCTTTTGAAATCTCAAAGCCTGTCCTCAGTGATATACCTCCTCAAATAATCATTCCCAAACAGTTCCACCAACTGAGAACCGAACATTCAAATACATGAGCCTATGAGAACCATTCTCATTCAGACCACAACCAACATTTCTGAAAGAAAAAACAAAACAAACAAACAAACCCTAGGATATGGAGACTCCTAGTCATGCTACTACATTAGCCAGGACAGTGTTTCTTGTGTAGCAGGAAAGCAGATCCTCAAAGTAACTCTGCAGAACTGGTTCTGCTGTCAAAATACAGGTCTAGAGCAGTCTAAGCCACATGGAGAGAAAACAGAGCAGAGTAGTGGAGAAACAACACATAGTTACTGCCACTCTATTTTATGTCAACTGCTAATCTTGTGTTTGTTTACAAGGTGGGAGGTAGGGGCAGAGGAAAAAATAGAAAGGGAGTTTCATGAGACTTGTGTAGACACCACTGACTCCTTTGTCTTCTCTCCAAAAGATGACATGGCCAGCACCCTCTCAAGGTGATGCATGCCAGCCAACAAGACTTCAAGCAGAAATGAACAAAGACTCTGGGAAGACTTTTGGTTTTCTGATTAAAGGAACAGAAATTATAGCCCAGTCACTTCTTTCTCCCATATGAGGCCAAGTTTTCAAAGCTCTCCTGCAGTCAGTCATTGTGGTGGTTTGAATAAGAATGCCCACAGGCTCCTAAATTGGAATGCTTGGTTCCCAGCTGGTGGAACTATTTAGGAAATATTACGAGGTGTAGCCTTGTTAGATAAGCTGTGTCACTGGGGTGGGCTTTGAGGTTTCAAGAATCTTTCCCAGTTAGCTTTCTCTGTCTCCTGCTGGTAGATAGATATGTGAGCGCAGCTCAAGCATCGTGCTTGCCTATCATGCTCTCCAACATAATGGTTGTGGATTCTAACTCCCAAATTAAATACCTCCTTTTCTAAGTTGTTGGCCATGGTGTTTTGTCACAGCAGTCGAAAAGTAAGATGGCCATGTAGTACTTACATAAAAACAGAGACATGGTTCACCAGTATCTTAGCCTCTGTTCCTGCTGCTATGATAAAACACTCTGACACAAACAACTTAGGCCAGGTAGGCTTTCTTGATTCCACAGCACAGGGTACAATCCACTGTGACAGGGAAGTCAAGACAGTGGCAGCTCAAAACACCTGATAACTTTGTATCCATAATCACCAAGAAGAAACCCAGCTATTGGTAAGTTCATTCACTTTTTCTATTTTATAGAGTACAAATCTCTTATTATGGGATGGTGCCACCCAGTCTTAATTTAGAAAATGACCCATGACCCACGGCTCAGAGGTCATCTTCTATGTTATTCTAGATTCAGTCAAGTTAGTTACACTAACCATCATAATTCCATTCCTTGTCACCTTGACACCAAAACATCGTTAAGCCATAACCTTCTAACCCTTGTCTCCAAAGGTTCATGACCGTTTTATAGTTAACATTCATTCAGTATAACTTTAAAAGTCCAGTCTCCTATCTTAACTGTGAGTTCCTACAACATCAAAAGGTGCAAAATTCAAACATGGAACAGCACAGAGTAAATATTCCTATTCAAAAATGGGAACAACTGTGGTATGGCAAAAACAATTAAACCAGACTAAAGCCAAACTCCAAAGCAAACAAATTCTCGCCCTAAGCCTTACAGTTGGGGGTTTCTACATAATCAAGAGTTCCAAAAGGCTTGGGTAGCCCCAGTCTGCTCATTCGGCACATACAGAGACTTTCTGGGGCTGCTAGTTCCACTCCGTATTGCTGTGTCTCAGGTAACCACTAATGGGAAAACAGAAGAGTGAAGGACAGGAGGGAGCAACAGTGACACTTTTGTATTCTCTATAAGGAAACATCTGAAGAATCTGCATGTTTACCTTTAAGTTTGGAGTACCTCAGGAAGGTGAGACTCAGTAGCCTTAAAGTATGAAAATTCTATTGCACAGGGGCAATAATGAGGGAAATGTGAAGGAAACTATAAGGAAAGAAATACAAGCACTTCTCTCAGTGGCAAGGATCACCACTCACCACACAGGAAACACTCAACTTCGGAATTATTGTCTCTCTCTTCCATTCCTACAAAAGGTTCTAGTTGCAGAGGAAAGCAGGAAAGCAGATTTGGGGGGAATTTTAATCCTCTATCCTCTCAGATTGCTGACTCTCTGAATAAAGCACAGTTCAAAGATTCAAGTCTTCCCCTGCTCACTGGCATCCCTGGTGACAGGCATCACCAACT